AAAAAAAAAAAAAAAAAAAAAAAAAAAAAAAAAAAAAAAAAAAAAACTTTCTTTTTGCTTCTTACTTTAATTACAACTGTCCATAAATGTACTATCCCCCCCCCCCCCAAAAAAAAAACTTACTGAAACGTCCTCAATCACGCTTTCTATTTTAGATGGATTCACATTTTCTTTCACTCTCTCTCCAATCCTCCTCAGCAGCCATATAAGTTGCAGAAAGGAACACTGCAGATGGCCAAAGATAAATTCCACAGGTTCTTTAGGACAGCAATCATTCTCTAACCGAAGTTCACGTACAACAGCTTCCCACACCCCTGGAATCTTAAAAATGCGATCCAAGTTTGCTTTTGCCCCCAAAGGCAGATACCGCTGTAAAAGATGGACATGAGCAGGTGGCGCAACACTCATCAATTCCTGATCTCCATTGTGATGAATTTCTAGTCGCTCTATGTTTTGAACAAAGATGGATTGCCCTGCTGTGTCCATCAATATGGCACCAGCACCACAAGTGGCAGCCATGTTTGTTTGCCTCACATCTACACAGAGAGTCTGAGCTAGATCTTCATTGCCATAAAGCTGGGCACACAAGGCTTGGTGTGGGCGCTGTTGCTGTGATGAAAGATTTGGAAACTGCTGATGTTGCTGCTGTTGACACTGCAACTGATATTTCGTTCGCTGTTCAGACAGTTTTAGTTCAGATGGTGTTTCAACTATTGGATACGCCTCATAATCTTGGTTTACTGGTACTGATGGTGTAACCAATACAGAGGAAGATGATGAAATGTGTGGTGGTGTTGGAATAATTGGTTGTGTAACTTCATTTGAATGTTGGCCTTCATTTGATGGAACTGATAACGGAGAGGTATTTGTTAAAAGCTGTGTTGGATCACATGAAGGTTTAAAACGTTTAGCTTCTGGGGGTGACAACTGGCCAGATTCAGACAAGCTTGACTGCTCAAGATCACCATGTTGTGATGGAAGGATGATCTCAGCTGGGTTCTGTCCTCCTAACATTTGCTGTGTTGATTGTGCCATTGCATTAGGTGAGCCAGTCATTGTTCCAGGTGTGGTGAACAATGAGTTGTTTGACTCTCCCTGGTCAACAGATGGCATTGGGAGAGAGGCTATATTCCATTCTGATGGTGGATGATGAGCTACTTTCTCTGGAACCTGGTCATTAGGTGTCTGCTGTAATTGCTGCATAGGTGCATGTGGTTGGGCTTGTTCTAGTGGAACATTTACCTGTGCCTGAGGAAAGGGTGACTCTGTCAAAGTGGTATTTGGCATTTTGTGCTTCTGGCGTGGACCAGTACCACTAGAATGTGGGGATTTGGGCAAATGTGGTATTAGACTGCAATACCCCTGTGGTGGTTGGTGTTGGGCATATGGGTGCTGATCCTGCAGTTGTTGATGTTGCATATGTGTGTGGTGGGACTGCCCTGGAGCTGGGAGACCCCACTGTGTCTGATGGGGAGCTGAGGGGTTCAGAGTCCACAGTTGCTGCAATGGTTCCGAAGACCCCTGGAGACCCCACTGTTTGGGCGCTGAAGGGTTCAGAAGTGATTGTTGCTGCAATGGTTCTGATGTGTTGTGTGACTGGTTTCCCCCCAGGGGCCTCGGATCTTGATGCGACGACTGGAGAGCTTGTATGTCGAGTTGTTCAGTGCCAGGTATCTTTGTTATCTGAAAGATATTAGGCACTCATTTGATGAAAACTTTTTTCAATTCATTCATTAGTATGTCCACCCTTATGCTATCAATCTCCCAAAATAATGATATTAACATAAGTGATCTGAAATGTGTAAATATCAGGCATAATGTGAAAAGGACCTTAATTAGTTTACACTATAGGTTATGCCATCTACCACTATAAATGTAATTCCTTAGCTGAGAGTTTGAATGCCCACTTGCAGTGTTCCTCCTAATGATTAAGAGTCAACTCCCACAGTTTTCTATGTGTAGAAAGATGCATGTAACCACAGATCAATTAGTATCCAACTGTATAATATGTCATCACCTTATGTAATGGATGGTACACTTCAAACTCTACTGATGACATCCGTGCATCTTTACCCTTGAGGCCCTGTTGGGCCACCAATATTTTGCTGATGAAAAATTTGGGACATGGTGTGGTAGACTCAGGGGTTAAAAAAAAGGCACAATATGGTCTGCTGTCATCTATCATTCTCTGGTAATCCAATGCCTAAAATAATTAAATACTTATTAGAAACATGTTGTTCTGGAATAAAGATTTAAATGTTACCATGCAACACACTGAGAGAGTTTTAAACAGTACATGGATTGGAAAAAACTATTCTAAACAACTATAATGAGGTTTTTAAAATAAGGAGTAAGATAAATGCTTGGTTTTATATTTGAAAAAATAAAAATGAAAATGTGATAAGTTGGTGAAACATTTTACTATTTTTCATGATATATTTACACTGACAAAAAAATTAAATCTTGTTTGGTCTCAGTTTTACCTTCTCATCTTCCCCTGTCAAAGTCCATCCTTGATAGTCCTTTAGTGTGACCAGTACATCATGATCATTTTCACATGGAACATGGTCATTGTTGTCATGGTCACCATCCCTTCGGTCACCATCACTATGGGGACAGATGTAAAGCCTGAAGAACCCATCAAGCACTACACGCTTGAAACCCATCCCTTCCATCCTACTGTCAAGAACCTGGAATATTGAGTAAGATGGTACATAACTTGAAACATATTGTCCCAACTAATACAATATATAACCTCAGTGGTATTTCACACATATGATGCAACATAAAAATCAGTTTAGTTTTATCTCACACTTTTGCATTACCATAATTTCATTGGGAGTATCACTGATGCAACTGACTGCAATCTGAAGCAGCCTTGTTTTAGGATCAAACTCCCCAAACACTGCGGCCAGCATCTTTCTGCTATTCGATGAAGTGGTGTATTTACACAGGTTCCACAAAGCTGCAGTGCATCTGGTGACAAAGGATATGAAAATATGTACATTAAAGATTCACATACACTGTATATTAATAAACAGCAATGCCAATTTAATCTAAATAGTACAAAGCTGAATTTGAATGTAATACCTCAATAATTAAATTTACCACAGAGCAATATATGTTGTATTTAATCAGTTGTGTGTATGTGTGTGTGCATTTGTTAGCTTCCACTAAATACCCTCATGTTCCATAAAAATCTGATTTAACAATATATATATATATATATATATATCAAATCTTAAGAAGCAAAGGGTCTCTCACCAAAGAATATTTATTATATGTAAATGCATGTTTTAAAAACACACATGTATTTATACATACCGGTACATGTATTTTTAACTTAAAAGCATAAATTCAGTACCTGGTTTGGCTGTAGATGACAACAGGGTCATTCTCATCAGTTGTCCATTTACAAGTCCCCAGTAGGTCAGTTTTTGATGTCCAGAACTTTGTCTCTGTCTCTTCATCATCAACATGTGGAATACAGTGAGGAAAACTCAGATACACTGGTTTCTGAAAGGTTAGGTCATGTGGACCAATAACCACAATGGGGCTTGTTCTTGTCTGCTTGCCTCCCAAATGAGGGCTGTCGCCTGCTCTCCAACTGACTCCAAGGTACATCTCTGTTACTGTACCTTCAGGTAGGGAACCCTCTGGTACCACAAGTGTAACCCCCACTTCCTTTAAGTGAACATAGCCACCATGATGGTCCATAGTGAACTTTTGAATGTAGATTCCTGATGAAATCAGTGCCAATTCAAGATCATTTTTCCTTTTGATTGTGTCTTCCTGAGACAATGCAGCATCTGTACAACAATGAAAAAAAAAGGGTTACTTATCAATGATGTGGAATAAAAGGCAAATTGTTTTACTTATGATTTTGTAACCAGATTAATTGCCAATTAAGGTCCAACATTCAGACTCAAATATAACCTTTACAGCACACCTTTTAAACTAAACAGTAATATGACATAAATAAGATATCAGTTTCCATATCCAACATTATTTTTTCTCCATTGTCAAACATGGTGAAATTAATTGTATTGTATTGTAAATGTTAAAATTTTACTCGCTTGAAGCTACATAATCACATACATGTACATGCATGCATGCAACCTCTTTCTGTAATCGTCTCTGTTTCATGTGCCTCTCTGTGAGTTATAAATTGGTAGCCATGTACAGAGTATAATACATTTTATCTAAATGAAATCAATGTTTGCAAGCAAAGAACCCTATACTCAGTATATATTTTCTTCACAGAAAATTCCGCTTGCTGCAACTTACCTTCAGGAAGATCAAGGGAGATGGAGTCATCAGAGGCAACCTGATTACGGCAAAAATAATGTAAAGATTTAGTTATTCACCTAACATCAACTTAACAGGATCAAAATATAGACAAATAAGCAGGCTTAAAAAGTATACATGTGTATTATAAATAAATTTTGTTTAGAATAAAGTTGAGTAAACTTTTCAGATCCATTGCATGCCTTCACATACATATGTTTTGTGAATCTAGTGTATGTTACATTTCTGTCATATATTAAATATATATGCATTTTCACACATATTTCATCACTCTAAATCATGTGAATTTCAGTGGGGAATAAGTACAATTTACATGAATATTAAATTACTTCATCATTTTTGTTTCACTTAATTACGAATACGAACATTGCATATGATGATTTATAAATATGTACCCAATCTTGAACTAAGTCAACTTTATTTTTCTGACAAATGAATTAAAAAAGCATGTGCTTGACCTATGAATAGTGATAATAATTAAGAATAATTTGGCTTACTTCTGAAGATGATAAAAATATGTCACTCAAAGTTTCATAGTGTGAAGACTTCTCACTACAAGGAGATGGAGGTTCCATTGTTGGAGATTCAGTATACAGGAATCTTGGAACCTCCAACTCCAGAAACTCATATAACCCAGAATATCCACCTTTTGACTGTTTTTCATATTGATATTTTCCCTCTGATGAGATACCAGGTTTAGTTTGGAAAATAAAATCCTCGTCAATGTGCAACTTAAAACTATGAAATACATCTCTCCGAAAATGTCTCAAACCCTTTGACTGTTTTTGGCCTTGATACTGATATTTTACCTCTGACAAGATTCCTGGTTTAGCTTCGGAAATAAAATCCTCATCCATGTACTTTTCTCCTGTTCCTCCCTGAGATTCTAAAATGTAGATTCAAGAAAATAATTAACATTTTTGGCACACAAACACAGCATGATATTGCAATTTATGACTGAACTGACCATTCTTTTACATAAATCATGTGTTTAGGCTACAGCACATAATCTCAGTGGTGATATGATACTCAGAACAACAGTATTAGCTAGCAGTATTCTTATACTCAGATTCTGAACTATCTTAAAACTAATGCCTATCTGTGGCACAAAAAAGTCTATCAATAAAGAAGAACATTATTTTTAAATGCATTTTAACCTTTGATCCTCATTGACAAATGATTCAAAAATCCTTCCTTTCTGCTATCTATGGGTTTCAAATGTCTCAAGGACAAAGGTAATTTTCTCTGTTCTTCACTGCTGATGTCTCCATATACAGGGATGACTTGCTTTTGCTGTGACATTGCTTCATGCATTATACTTTCTGCTTGCAGCCACATCAAATAACTAAAATAAAGAACCATAATTTATGTAAATTTTGCCATATCAAAAGATGTGTGAGAGAAAGAGGGACTTTTTTTTTCCAAAATTCAATGACAAAAGCAAAGAACTGACACACACACACACACACACACACACACACACACACACACAGACACACAAAGACATTTACAATCAAAGTATACAGAAGATGCCAAGAATACACTAGTGGTACTGACTCTTACAACTTACCACATACTACAAATAATACATAAACATTTTTTTCTTTCTGGAGATAGCATAAGTTTCTTTCAAAAAGCATTCTTATTCTGCATAAATTTGGCTTGATCCCCTTTTGAATCATAAGTTAACAATAAAGTCACACCTTGAAAATGCCAATAAGTGAAAAATTAAATTTTCACAAAAAACTGTTTAACTGCCAGAAAAAATACCAAACAGACTGCATTGCCTACTGAAGCTGTATTTTAGACCCATATTTCTTTCCTGTAAGTTTGATAACAGTAAGTGACATGATTTTCTTTAAATGGTCATCATGGGAGCAGTGCCTAAAATATGGGTTTCTTCGAATCTTGATGCAATATTACATAATGTTTAACAGCATAATGACCATCAATTTTTAATCATAAAATATTAGTATCATGGATATTCAGAAAATGTGACTAGCAAAGATCTGCAGGCTCATGGAACTTCAAAGTCACATCTTAAAAATGCCAAACTGTAAAAAAGACAGCACTGTTCTGAAATG